GCTGCCTCGAAATCTCCATGAAGCCGACCAAACGACAAGTGCCCGAGGTACAACGCCGCATGCAGGGTGTCTCTTGATCTCCTCCGACGATGAAAACCTCGTGCTTACTCTGTGCCCAGCCCGCGTCAAAACGATGTACTGAGAAATCGACAAAACCTCAAAGAAAATCGCTTGGCACCAAAAGCGGCCAGAAAAATGGCCGGTAAGTGCAATTTCCTCACAGGTCGCCTCTTTGGCAAAGTGGGCCGGGCCCCCTTAATACCCTTAAAAGCCATCTACGCTCGGGTCAACTCCAACAGGTACAACATCCACTCGATCTTCACTGCTTGCCCTTCGAGACATCATCTCACATTGCAAACCGATGACCATCCCTCGGAACCCTGTGGCGCAACACTACACGTGATTTACACCGATGCTTGCTTCAAATTGGGAGGCAAGATTTACCGCACAGGCGATGAAGATCTTCCCAGTTGGAACTCCGACTCGACGAAAGACATCGAGAACGGTTGGGCGGCGGTGTGTTCCCACCAAGGTGATGGACACAAAGCCGCGTACTTCCAAGGACGATTACCGTCCGTCCTCTTACGTCAGTTTTCCTCCGACCAGGCTTTTATTTACCTTCTGGAAGCCTGGGCCGCCATTCTGGCCCCACTGATCTTGGAAGCCTGGTTAGGTAGTTTCTACATCCAATGCTGCGACAATGAGGCTTCCCGACATGCCCTGATCAAAGGAGTCGGCAAACATCAGCCTCTCAAAGGCTTCATCGCATCACGTTGGACGTGGCATAACCGACGCGGGCTTGCGCATAAGCTGGAACGAGTACCCACGGAGGCTAACATCGCCAACGCCATTAGTCACCTCGGATGCACACCTGACTCAGGTCACTACCGAACGATGGGATACACGGCCCCAAAACGAGAGCCGAGTGACGCCTTTTACAGTACACTCCAAAGGAGTTTACGGGAGGGCGCCTCGCATCCGGCCCTTCATGTACAGAATGATGAAATGCCTAAGTACGGCGTTGGCTAGCTCTCTTCTGATGTACAAGAAGTCAGTATAGGACGTGGTATGCAGCTTTCTTTTCGAGGCCGCAATGGTGGCCGCCGCTTTGGGAAGCGGCGTGCAGTAGTCCGCGTGCCTTAATGGCCATCTGGTACTCAACTGCAAGTAATAGTCGACTCGACTAATGCGTGTGAATGAAAAACACGACGCCAGTAGTCGATTTGAAGCCATCGATCAGGCCCAGGACTGGCTACTACTCGATCTGCCTCTAGCCGCAGCGAAGTTCATTGACTGGTTTTTCGAACTTACCAGGTATCGATTGTTTGCATCGAATCCTGACAGGAAGAGACCGGTAAGGTCTCGTGGCGTTCGCCTGCGATGAGAGGATGCGACCACCACCGATCGGAAACGGTCGGTCCTCAGAAACATCGATCGACCATTTCTGTAAGAAATGAGAGTCTACATCGATGAAACCGATCAGACTCCGAGAGAGTCGAATCGCAGAAAATGCCACCGAAACGAAAGCAGTTGGAAAAACCCGCTTGTCAGGGATCTATGCTGTTGGGGTGAAAGCTTCTGTTGTCGTGTAGCACACTGATGTGCGAAATGACAACTTCCTGCTTTCATCAAATCACCGATCGGGTTACGAGTGGATCTGCTAAATCTGATTGAATGCGAATTTGTTACATATCCGTTGCCATCTGGCTTAAGCTTTTTGTCAAAAACTTTCTTCTCCCACCCTCCCTAACCCTCGTTTCACATATTGTTTTCCTATGCTTTCTTTCTGCGAGACCCGACCGGGAAACGGTCGGTCCTCCGCAACATCGATAGACAATTTCTGCAAGAAATGAAAGTCTACATCGATGAAACCGATCAGACTCCGAGAGCGCTTTGTGCAAATGCCCAGGTAGCACATTTGGATGAGAAGGAGGTGGAGAAGGACGTGGGGTGAGAGTAGGTGGTTGTCGTCGCACAGTTTGAAGCCTGGACTTGGAGAGTGTGGCGAGTGCATGCCCGGCATGTGCGCAGACGAACTCTTGTGAGAAGGAGCAGGACCTTCTTGCGGAGGCCGTTGCCACGCAATTCGGCCCATCCGAAGGCCCGTCCGAATGTCACCGGTGGTTTCATGCGGTTTTTTGTAAATGACAGGCATGCATGCCGTCGATGCAGAAGTGGAGCTCGCTAGGCAGGCAGAGCATGTAGCCTGTACTTTGTAAGGATTGTGCCTGTGGCCCTTCTCGTGTGGGTGTGTTATTTTCATGCTCGTGCTTGGCATGACGCATTATGGGTCGACGATGCAGCAATGCTGTGAAAGCTTCCATGTTTTGGCGATCTTGAAATTGTTTGTGTTTGCATCGGGTGTTCGTTTCTACTATCTAGTGTGGTGATCGTCAACAAGTTGCCGGCAGATGATGGCATAATGTGCAGTGTGAAGAAATCGGAGAGAACGATTCTGAATCGTCAGCCGCAGAGAACGATGTAGGTAAATAGTCGGGCCGGCAGCGAACACAGATTGAGATCCTCCTTGGCTTTCTGACTCCTACTTGGACACCAACGAGGGAATAGGTGGGGAACAGATCAGCCCTGGCTCGTCAATATAATGACATGCTCGACCCCCGAATTGGGGACGTTCTGACAAGTGTCGATCTATATTCACCGAGATTCGGTGAGGAGTTGTAGCTTCAATTCGACTCGGAGTCATGATCCGTTTAGAGTTCATGGTGCAGTCTGACAATTTGGGCGTCGTCCAACAGTCTGACGGGTCGTTTGGCTGAGGCCCGGGCTGCTTGGATTGGTGCGGCGTGCGATCTCTGCTCAGTGGGTCTTCGAGATGGGCCTATTGGCTGTGGCGAGCTGGGGAGATCGCCTGAAGCGCCGGGGGAACGGCCTGCAGAACCGCCTCGCGCTGGTCAAGAGCTCTTTGGAGGACCTCCACGCTCCTCGGCTCACTTCCCGGCTCAGCCGGTGCCCTCAGTCCCTTGTCCTTCTCCTTCTCCTTCTCCTTCTGCCATCTTCGCCCTCCTCCTGCAGCTGAGTCCCAGCTACGCGGCTTGGCATCCTTCCGGCGCCTGGCCTTCGAGGAGATCCACTCGGCTGGCTGGTGGGGAAGGCGGACTATGGGACTGGCCCCCGCGAGCGGCGCGCACTTTCGACGCTGCACACTTTCGCACACTCTTGCTTTGCATCTTTGGCAGGTCCGGTTCGGGCTCTTCCAAAGAGCACACGGCCCAGATCGCGGCCCGGCTGGTGCAGTTCTTGGCCCACATTCAGCCAGGTCTCTCATAGAGTGAGAGCAGAGGGGCCGATGCGGTTTGGGCGTTGTTTTGCGTTGTCGTGGAGGTGGCGCAGGCTCCCTTCTGGACGTCGGCTGTGGCTGGGGAGAGCGGGGGCCTTTTTGGAGTGAAGCGGACAGAGCGGTGACGGGGTGTCTCAGGTGGGTGCCGGAGGCGCTGGAGGCCGGGCGTTCCTCCGGAGAGCTCCCGCGGAGCTTCCGCTACCTCGGCCTGGACATCGCCTACCAACCCATCGAGCCTCTCGGCCTGACTCGCAAGCGCTGAGCTCTGTGAAGTCCCTGAGAAGCCGAACCGCCAGGCACCTGCGCCGCAAGCACCGCGACACTGACCTTCGTTTCGAGGTGGCGGACGGTGTGGAGGAGACAGTACTCGTAAAGCGGCACGTCACTTCAAGCTTGGCAGCATTGGGTGCGCAGATGACTCATGTCATGTTCGACTGCTAGCTATGCAAATGATGTACCTGTGTATAATACAAGAACTGGTAATGACCACTATCAGAGCACATCAGAGCGCCGTTATCTAGCCCAAGGTTATCGATCAACACCACATTGTGGTGACTGTTTCTGCATCTTCGCATTGACGTCATTATGCTCTGTTTCTATCATGGCCGTGGGCAGCGCCAATGTCGTTGCACACTGCTTTGCTTTGCAAAGCAATTGGTTAAGACCGTTGGTTTTAGTTCCTATCATTGCTTTTCCCACCGAGCTGCGGGTGGCCTGCTGCGCCCCGAGTCGCAGTCTTTCAACAGAAGGTGTTAGGGGAGAGCTCCCACAACGAGAGTCCGTCCACGTCTTAATGGGCACTGCAAATCGCTGTCCTGAAAACCCCGGGTTCACTGCCCTTCTTGTTGCAACAACGGCCACGGTGTGCGTGTCATCCTTGCGCTGGGGCGGAGCTTCCTTACGGGTTCACACTTTCCGAGTATGCAGCTGACACAGGTGCATTTTTGTAGATTTCGTCTTGAACAATGCATCGCGCGCTAGGAATCGGTCGCCTTAGGATTGTTTGGGACAGGGAGGAGGAGACAGTGGTCCTTCTATGGTGAAACTTGATACTCCGGACCATGTGCTGCGCCTAAGCTGGAGGATGCCTTGCCACAAGGCTATGCCGTGGCGATGGTGCGCCATGTCCAGACCCTATGCGGCTATGCGGATGCTGGTGGTGTCTTGGCCTCTGCCCTGTCGCCCTGTCCTTCCCGAGGTCTTCCAGCATTTGAATCTCAGGGATGCTCGGCGCCCTGCGAGTCGCAAGAGATAGGAGAAAGACGGAGAGAACAGAAGAAGAGCGTCTCTGAGTTCTCAAAAGAGTGAGCAGACTTCCAGGCCTGGAGGCTGCTGTCGAATTTGTGGAAGGCGAAGCCGGCCTTTGTGGTGCTCTCCTCCTGGTCCGGGCCCTGAGAACTTCGGGAAAGTTCTCTAAATGCGTTTGTGTTTTTTGTGTTTTGGATCCCATTGAGTCTGAGCTTCGCAGGCCCGACTCGCAAAACGAGGACTTGGAGAGCTTCGGTGGCTCCTCGGCTTTCGCGGCCATGGAGCCTGCGAGCCTGAAGAACTTCAAGTCCTACGACCTGCAAAAGCCTCCCTTCAGCCTGCCAGAGCCCCTCGATTCCTGGCCCGAAGTGCACCAGAACGCACGGATGCTCGCTTTTCCTGGCGAGGTGCTGCGGCGCTTTGAATAGACCTCTGCCATCCGCTGCACTATGGCCCCAAGCTCCCCCGATCCCTGTGCCATCCTGCGTCGTCAGTGTCTCTCTGGCCTCTGGCCCCGTCTCTTCCACGATTCAAGACCACCTCGCCGGTCACTGAGAAGCCGCCCGAGCGGACCAGCGCGATGACGCGGCGAGCACGTCGCGCACCCGCGAGCCGTGCGCGAGCTGCGCAGGCCTCGAGCCAGCAGCGTCGCGAGTGTGAAAAAGGGGGGCGGGAAGTCGGGAACTCCGCAAAATGGAAATGGAGAGCACGACGGAGCATGGAAGCGGAACTGTCAGCTTCTCTCAGCTCGGCTCGAGCCTAGAAGCGGCCATGGTTCCTTGGTCTCTGCCTGAGCCTCGGCACCTCAATGTCTCGGCATCGCAAAAGAGAGCTCATCCGCTTGAGGCTTCGGCAATGGATCTCCTGGGTGGCTGCTGGGCCCGAGGCTCCGGGGCTTGCGCGGGGGGGCCGCAGGGCTTGGGCAATGCATGAGCCAAGGCCTGTCGAGCCTGGGACTCCGCGCGGCTCCTCCAGGAAAGTTCAAAGCACTTCAAGGCGACGTGTCACGTGGATCGCGTCTCAGGAGCACCTCAAGTGGGAGTCCTTAGTTGCCGTGGCTGATGCGTCGTGCGGGCCCCGGGTCTGCGACCCTTTCGGACTCTGGGCCCCCCACCGGGCCGCTTCGCTGAGGCTGCGGGAAGAGGCAGAGATGCAGAGCCCGAGCCCCGCAGAGCAGAGCAGAGCGAGTGCTCGCGTGCGCGCGTGCGCTCGAGCTCGAGGCCAAAGACGTCTTCTGGAGCTGAAGGAGCACTTGGCACAGGCTGCGGCGCAGGCGTCGCCGTCGCGGTGAAAGGCCCTTTCACTCTCTCGCGCGGTTCTTTTCGGTGCCCAGGTCTGGGCTTTGGCCAGCCCAGGGCAGCTCCTGCAGCAAATGCACGAGAAAGCGTGGCCGGAAGGCGGGTGGAGGAGAGAAGGAGCGAGAGGGGGGGGGGTGAAGCCTTGGGCGCCGTGTACCGAAAGCTTCGACGACAGAGGGGAAAGGAAAGCATGGAAGTCTGGGCCTGAGGCTGTGTGCAGCTCTTGGGCTCTGTAGCACCTTTCGCGACACACGGCACTCAGCGGGCCCGCGTATAGAAATTGTCGCGTTGCCGTCCTTGTGGGGCAGATGTCATGGTGAAGAGTCGCGCTCCTTACGACCGGAGCACGGGGGACGCGCCATGCGCAAGGGAACTGCAAGCTCCCGTTTTGGAGCTGTGATAAGGCGGGAGGCCCGGCACACAGAGGACGGTTTTCAGACCTCGCCTCATCCCGAAAAGTAGTGTCACACCGGACGGAGAACTTGGGCGCAGGAATGCACAGGAGTTGGGGCTCTTTGTCTTTGGCTGAGTGGTCAGAAGTCCATGGCAGAAACATGCGACAACAAAGCAGGACCCCCTGATCCCTTTTGCCTGGGAGAGAGAGAGAGAGAGAGAGAGAAGCAAAGAGAAAGGAAGAGACAGCATGTCTTTGGATCGTCGTGTGCTGGAGCGGAGAGGAGATGGAGGGGAGAGAGAGGACTTAGCGACTTAGCCAAAAGGCGCCGAGCTCCTGGAGGCGGAAAGGGACGTGTGTCGAGCAGAATGCGCAGCCGCCGCAGCCTCTCCCAATCTCTCGCTCAGGCGGCCGCCGAGCCGTTGGACCTTCAGAAGTTGGGCGAAGTGCTGGTAGCTCTGCGAGTGCGCATCGACAGGCGGCTTGGGAGCATTTTCGAGGGATGAAACTTCCAATAAAGGTTGCCGATCTGATGCCACAGACATGCAGTTCTCCGGGGAGGCCATGTCGGTGAGGTTATTTCAATTGCTATCTTTGACTCTCGGCGCCTCTGCAGCATGCCAGAAGTGGTCTCTGTGCTCCTGCACACCTTTCGAATCGCACTTGCGCCACTTGCCGCTTGCTCATATCCCTGCTCTTACTTGTGTGCTTCACATTTGCGGCTGTACTTGCTGCGTGCACTGCAGTAAAATAAAGACAGTGGGATAGTTAGCATGTGTTGCCATGCGTTGGAGCCGACTCGTACAACAATACAGGCTCTGCCTGCGCAGCGCAAGGCGAATCCCGCATTGCGAGTTGAGCCTTTTGTAAGTGCTTCTCGACTCGACTCGACTCGACGTGAAGTAGGAGGTACTCGTAGTTAGTCAGAGTCAGTCCTTGTCTTTTTCCCTTCCAGGTTGGTGGCGGATTGGGCGGAGATGCAGCTTGCTTTGCGAGACTGGAGGAGCGAAGCGGAGCGACAGGCGAGGCACCTGCCGATCAACCACGGCATCCTGCTTAAACAGGCCCAAGTCCTACACCAGATGCAGCTCGGCTCCTTTGCTCCTTTGTTTCAGAGAGACAAAGACCAACAACTGGCTGAGACCGTTCCCTCCAGCAGAATCCCCGGAGAAACAAACAACGACATGACAATTCCAGTGAGGGCGGAGGAAGGAACAAGAGGGCAGCACCCTGCCCTGCACTTGCAAACAAAACCAGCAATCGAAGGTTGTACGGGAGAGTCAGCCAATTGAGAGTCGGACAATTGTCGTGCCACATGTAGCACCCGAATCCCTAAAAGATCCTTGCAAGAAGCCGTGTTATGTTTGACACTACCCAGGCACTGCTACCGAAAGAGGCCTTAATCCAAAGATAAGTCGAACCCTCCAAAGACCTGAACCCCAATCAAGAAGGTTTACGGTTTAGGGCAGTTTAGGGTTTTTACGGTTTAGGTTAGGGGTTTAGGGTTTAGGGGGTTGGCAAAGGAGCCCCTCAAGGAACACTTAAAGGAACCCGTGTCTTTACCGAAGACGCCCCGCAGAATGCAGCGAGCTCGAGCGGTGTTTGACGGCATAACACAGTGCGACATTATCCTGACTTGGCTTACTACCTCGTTCTAAGCTCCGAGTCTCTCTGATGCAGTTGCCTTTGGGATCGCCTGGAATGTGACTTGGAGGGATTTTGGAGCATTGCTCTCTGAGCCCAGGCTCTCGTTGCTGCCCCACTTCGACCAATGCCTGCGGAACTGCATCGCGAGAGTCAGGCGGCCAGCAGACGAATACCACAGCTCCTCGGTCCTCGAGGGGTGGGGGTTCTTTTCTGGTATGTTTTTTTGTATTTTTTTTTGTTTTCAGTTCAGTGGGTACGTGAGTCCATAAGTCGGTCAGTCAGTCAGTCAGTCATTCGGTCGTCCACAGAAGAGGGGTCAGTCAGTCGGTCCGTCAGCCAACCGAGCGGTCAGTCAGTCGGTCTGCCAAACGAGCTGTCAGTCAGTCCAGAGGGAGCGGTGAGTCAGTCATTCGGTCAGTCATTCCAAGTAAGGGGGCGGTGCGCTTAACATATGTGGTGAACCGGACTCGCCACACGAGGGCGGGTGTCGAAGACATATGGTGAGCCGGAATCGCAAATGATGGGGGTATGTTCAGCATGAATGATGAACCGGAATCGCCAGATGAGGGGCTGCGTTTAAGATGTATAATGAACCGTTGTCGCCGAAGGAGGGGGGTCGGGGCGTGTCCAAGATATGTGATGAACCGGAATCGCCAAATTATGGGTGCATGTTCAAGATGTATGATGAACCGGACTCACCAAATGAGGCACCGGAACCGCCGCATGAGGGAGCGTGTTTAAGATGCATGGTGAGCCGGAATCGCCAAAGTTTAACATGTATGATGGACCGGAATCGGCAAACGGCATGTTTGATATGTGGTGAACGGTTATCGCCCAATGAGGGGGCGTGTTTAAGATATGTGATGAACCGTTAGCGCCAAATGAGGGTGCATGTTTAATGCATAGGATAAGCAGGAATCACCAAATGAGGGGGGCATGTTAAACATGTATGAGGAGCCGGAATCGCCAAAAGAGGGTAGCGTGTGTAAAATATATGGTGAACCGGAATCGCCATTGAGGGGGCGTGTTTAAGATATATGACGAACCGTTATGGCCAAGTGAAGGGGCGTGTTCAAGATATGTGATGAACCGGAATCACCAATCAGGGGGCGGCGTGTCTAAGATATATAGTGAACCGGACTCGCCACATATGTCCAAGATATAATTATGGTGAGCCGGAATCGCCAAACGAGGGGGCATGTTCAAGATTTTGGGATAAACCGGAATCGCCAAACGAGGGGGCGTGTTTATCATGTAAGAGGACCCGGAATCGCCAAAAGAGGGAGGCGTGTTTAAAATACATAGTGAAATTGCCATATGAGGGGGCGTGTTTTGGATGTATGATGAACCGGTGTCGTCAAGTGAGGGGGCTGTTTTGAAGATTTATGATGTACGGGAGTTACCAAATCAGGGGTCGGCGTGATTAAGATATATGATGAGCTGTTGTTGCCTAGTGTGGAAGTTTAAGATATAGGATGAACCGGAAACGCCAAAATGAGGGAGCGTCTCTAACTTAGCGATGAACCGTTGTCGCCAAATGGGGGCGTCTTGTTTAAGATATGTGATGAACCGACATCGTCAAATGGGAGGGCGTGTTCAAGATATATGCAGAACTAGAATCACCAATAAGGGGGCGGCGTGTTGAAGATATGTAGTGAACCGGACTCGCCACATGAGGGCGGCGGGGGGCGTGTTTAACATGTAAGAGGAGCCGGAATCGCCAAAAGAGGGGGCGTGTTTAAACTACATGGTGAACCGGAATCGCCACATGAGGGGGCGTGTTTAAGATCTAGGATGGAGGGGGTTGTCGCCACATGTGGGGCATGTTGAAGATATATGATGAGCCGTTATCGCCAAAAGAGGGGGCATGATTGTTATGTGGTACACCGTTATCGTCAAATGAGAGGGCATGTTAAACATGTATGAGGAGCCGGAATCGCCAAAAGACGGGGGCATTTTTTTTTTTAACATGGTGAACCGGAAGCGCCAAATGAGGGGGCGTGTTTGAGACATATGATGAACCGCTATCGCCAAAGGAGGGGGAATGTTTAAGATTTATGAACCGGAATCGCCAAATGAAGGGACTTGTGATGAACCGGAATCGCCAATTGAGGGGGCGCGTGTAACTTTTTGCTGAACCGAATCGTCAAACTTCAAGATATGAGGAACCGCCAGTCCCCTTGGCGTTGCGTTAGCNNNGGGGGGGGCTGCGCCCCCCCCAACTCCCCCACTTTCTTAAGCTCTTGGACGTGCTTTAGTGAACGTCGTGCCGTCAAGAACACTGTTTCGCCATTTGCGATTTCAAGTCAAGCGCATAACTCGTATGAGGCCTTGCAAAGGCCATGAAGGCCCAACTCTTCCGCTTTTTCCTTTGGATTGCGCAGGCTTGCTTTAAAGACCATCGTGCCATCAAGAACGTAAAGCCACAAAGCCGAGACGCCCAGAGCCTGAACTAGCACGAAAGGCAACCGGGTAGACTGGCAGGGCCGGCGGTCGGCCCGTCGGACTGAGTGACCGAGCGATAGCCGAAGACCAGTAGGCCAAAAACAAAAAAAGCACCAAAAAGACCTCGAGTACAGCCTCAGTTGTCGCCATCCCTGGACTCTTGCAATTTTTATATATGGATCGAACCGAAAACCAAAAAAACTAAACAGAAAAAATCACAAAAAATACCCAACAATAACCTGGACCCGTCCTGGAGGGTGCAAGGGCGTACAAGTGCCAAGGCGTAGTGAGTGACATGGTCAAGTCAACTTTTTGCTGCTTTCAGGCGCGCTGCTCTATCTGCAGGGCTCGCCCATAGCTGCATCCCAGCCATTGAAGAGGGTTTTCACTGGCGAGCCAAATCTGCTGTCTTCGGAAGTGGAGGAGGCGGAGGTGCTGGCACTGTCTGAAAGGCTTTCGGCTGCCAAAAACAGCGTGGACTCCGTGGACTGGTGCGATGGTGCACGGGAGCTTTATGCGGTGCAAGGCGCAGACCCTTGTGAGGCCTTGGCAGGCACCGCGGCCTCAGTCCTGGCGGAGGTACATGGCTGGCAGGTGGGAGCAGAAAGCGAAACGGTTTTGGAGGGAGGCGCAGACGTGGGAGGCATCCCGGGCCTTCCTGGCTCGCGTGAGACGCTTCCAATTCTCCACGGCCCCGAACATTTCGAGGTTGGAGGCAGGCCAAGCTCGGGCAGAGACAGGAGCACTGCGAGCTCTCGAGTGCACCTCAGGCGCTCGTCGGCCTTCTTGCCAAAGCCGGCCACTGTGCTGTGGAGAGGACCCACGACGAGGTTGGGCACACACACACACACAATATATATATATATGCATTACACATTACCATTACCATGACCTTGCTTTTCAACCGCATGTATATTTTCCATTGCATTACGATATATAATGCCATCAGCCATATCATGAATGCGTAATCATGAGTATAATGCAATGTGAACTAGTGCAGTATCAGGAATCAGCTTTTTGGCACAGACTGTGCTACGTTGTACCACAATGTGATTTGGCGCAACACATTGTATTGAAATACAATATAGTGCAATATAGTGTGGTGCAATGTACTATATTGCAAGATTACTTCATATATCACGTGTAGTACAATGTAGAACAATGTCATATGAGGTAAGATGATGTAATACACCGTAATGACTGTACTAGAATGGAATGTTTGTAATATGATGCAATACAATGCAATGCAGTGCAGCGAAATTTATTGCAATGTAATGTTAGTAAATCATTTGACAAAGCGGCATATAACTGCGATACGATGTAGCGCAATGGAATATAATGGTATAGTATTATAGTGTAATTATGCAATACAATTCAGTATGACGAGATCTCATGCCCCGTCCCCATGCTTGGCACAGATGTTCATCTAGCCAAAGATACACGGTACGATGCCTGCACGCAGACATACGCAGAGATGAAGGCACCTCAACCCAGAAAAGCCAAGATTCTCACGGCCATCCCTGGCAGACGACGGCGCCAGTGAACGACAGCGTCGCCGTCTCTGCCGCCTCCGAGCTGCTCCGAGCGTTGGGCGAGGACGATCAGCGGAGCCTCCGAGAGGAGCGCCAGCTGCTGACTCGAGGACAGGTTTCGGTTTCGGAGCATCGCAACGGAGCATCGCGTGGCGCACTGCGCGCTTTGAGTCCGAGGCGCCGCCAAGAGCCTGGAGATCTTGAGTGCTACCAGGCCCTTTGCTGGGTTTAGAGGCTTCACAGGCCTTTTGCGTCGAGTGCTGATGGTGGAGTTCCTTTGCCACATGGCCTTCGAAGAAGCTTCGACCTGGGCTTTTCGCGTGCGGTCGCGGGGAAATGCGCTGCAGCTTCGTCTCAGTGAAGCCAGCCAGGCGCCTCGTCGCCTCGTTTGAGACTGTGGAAGAGAGGAGAGAGGCGAGAGCAACTCGCAGCCGGCATGAGGCTCTCTCTTCATTGCATCACGCACTCCAGGACGGCTCCGCGGCCAAGTCGGTTCGGAGGGTGTGCCTCTCACTGCAGGACCTCCCCAGCTACCGGCTCCTCGCCTTTCAAGAAATCCATGCGACGGGTCACTGGGGCAAGACTTCCTCAGGCGGGCTGGCGTACGTCGCAAGGGCAAAGGGACTCTTTGTGCCTCGTGATCTTGGTCTCAGGTGCTGGCTCCTCAGCAGCTGCCACGGAGCCCCTCACTGGGAGGTTTCTGACCTTCCTTTCGCGACTACGGACCACTGGGCAGCATGTCCGGCCGGCGGCGCTGCTAGACATAGGCTGTGGCTGGGGCGAGTGGTTGCCGACTGTGCTGCGCGCGGCTATGCGGACGGGGTGGTTGCAGGGAAAGGTTTGGTACCAGGGCCTGGACATCGCCCGTCGGCCCATCCGGCACCTCCAAAGGGACTTTCAGCAGGAAAACGACTTTTCTGGCATAAGATTTCGATTTGCAGCCGGGCGCTCAGAGGGGTCACCAAGATTCACTAGGTCACTTGGGTCACCTGGTCATCAGGGTGGTCCTTGGTTTGTGGTTCTTCCTGGAGGCCTTGGATGCATGCGCTGATGTCCTGCCTTCCTTATCTCGGCCTTACTCCGTGGTGGTCGTGCGCCATGCTCCTTGCAATGCAACCAAAGCATTCACGGTGATAGAGCGTGTTCGCGAGTGACATCGGGCAGGTCTTCCAGCACTTGTCCATCAAGGATGCTCTGGACTTGCTCATGAACCTGAAGCGGCTGAAGCCTCCGCCGCGTTTCCTCCTCCTCTCCTCCTGGCGGCGGAAAGAAAACCGGGACCTGGAGGCCTTCGGCGGGCCAGGAGCCCAGTCGCGCAGTAGGTGCGGCGCAGTAGGTGCGGCGCTCCGCGTCGCGCTCGCTGAGGTCCTCGGCCTTCAGCTTCGTCTCTCCCAGGGCCTCGGAGCGCTTCCGAGGATACGACCTGCGCAAAGCACCCTTTCGGCTTCGACCCTTGGCTGCGTGGCCGGAGATCGACGGCGAGATGCTGGCTCTGCCTGCAACGTTACAGTGCTCTGCTACAGTCTGCTAATGTCTGCTAGCCGAGTAAGACATTCATGTGTGTCTTGGCTCGATCGCCATTTTCGTCTCTGTGCCTCTTTTCGCCTGTCTTTGCCTCATCATGTCTGGTGTTCCTTCGTCGGGCTGGCACGTCGTCAGCTCGAGCTGGTTGGGTAACACACGCACACACACACACACACACATTTTTATGTTTGTACGCCTGGACCAAGAAGTCCAGGACGTCGAGGCAGCAGCCATCCTAGAGGAGCACCAAAGCCCAGCCTGGAGGTTCAGCACCGGACGGGTTCCGCCGTCAGCTCGGCGGCAGTCTTCGTGCACGACCTGTCTTGGACTTAGCCTTTTGGTTGAAGTGCCAAAGGTCCATTACCGCGGTGAAGCGGGTAGGGCCGGGTACGAAGCTACATTGAATAACAGCAACGATCGGCTACTGCAGACCTTTGCAAAGCTTAACGCAGCTGCGAACAAGCCGGACGTCGGCGTCTTTTGAGGAAGTCCGCCAGTCCCTGCTTTTGAGCCAGGTGGTAGCGCTTGGACGGCGCGGGATTTTTTCGACATTGTTGCAAAGCACGCACAGAACCTCCAGCGTTTGGGGTCTGGAGTTGGTGAGTGCAGGTTTCGGCTCGCATTGTTCGTCTTCCCACCCTCGCCACCAGACTACCATCGACTACCGGCCAGCATTCGCCCACCCCAGCACCGGCACTGAGTGTTCGGGCGGTGTGCCCGGCCGTTTGCAGTTCGTATTACGACCAACAGGGGTGCTGCACCTTTAGTAGGATTTTGGCTAACACGTCGTTAGCTCGAGCTTGTTTCTGCTTTGTTTTGCGGGCTTTGGCAGTTTTCGCCAGGTCTTGCAGGGACGTGCGCTGCGGGCGCTCCGCGCGCCGAGAGCCCGACGGCGGAAGCCGAAATGATCGCGAGTGAGCGTCGTCGAGCACTCCCTAGCTGGTGCAGTGAAGATCCTCAAGCCGAAGCACAAAGCAGACGCGTGCAACAACAGCGATCTTGCCGATGGACGCGATGCGACAGGTGACGCCGCAGCGTGGGGAAGAAGAGAGTCAGCGAGAAGCAACGTGGGCGAGGGCGACTCCAGGCACTAGGTAGGTCCGATGTAGATCTTAGGTGTGGGCTGCAGAGAAAAAGAGGTAGTGTTTGCGATCTTGACTTCAGCCACTTCCAGTAGCATGTGTTGTGCGCTCTTCAGGAGCTTCTGGCTCCCAGATGGTTCCGTGTCATTGTAGCTTTCCTCACTTCAGCCTGTTTGGGCGAAGCCATCTGCACATTGACTGGACAGAGACACGCTCGCTCGCTCTCTCTCTTCCGTCCCTCCCCCTCCCTCCCTCGCTCCCTCACTTCCCTGCCCTCTTCTCTGAGGTACAAATGCTTGCTGGGCAGGGTGGGCTGCTCCTGTGCATGCTGCCCGTGCTGCTCTCTTGCGGCTTGACGGAAGCTCGACGCCGCGGCCTCTCGTGGTGAGGAGAAGTGCAAAGCAGAAAGTGCAAGCAGTGCGACAAGCGGAAGCCTGCCTTGCAAGGTGTCCGTGCTGGGCGCACTGAGCGAGGCATCCTGGACGAGATCCAGGAGCTGACAGGGGCGCTTGCCCGCACTGGTTTTGCATCGCGCCTGCTTGGGAGGAGCTGCTTGGAACGGAGCGGTCCCAGGTAGGAGAGGGCCAGGTTTCGGGTTTGGGGTCAACTCAGTTCTGTTGAAGCTTGTTTGGCTCGAGGTGATCAGCTCTCGCGCGCCTTTCATGGAAGAGGCGGGTGTTCGACCGAGCGACCAGGTTCTTGTGTGCCTGCATTTTGCCCGATGTCACGGTAGTTTGATGCAGCTTTGGTGGTGTCAGCCATTTCGGTTCAGTTACGTCTTCTTCCTGCTTCGAATTGGACTGAAGGATTGGGCATTCCTCATCAGAGCCAGGCGGCGCAGCCAAGAGCGGAGGCGATACGAGTACACCACAAAGCTTTCTCGATACTCTGCAGTCGTATGCCATGGTCCTGAAAGCAAGCAGAACATCAAGCAGCAGCTGAGCACGATCCAAGAGCTGAACAAGATCGAGGAGTTGAAAATGCAGAAGACGCAGAAACAGAGTGAGCCAGCGACTGGTGGCAGAGCAGCCCTGTCGTCTCCATGCATATGTTTGCTGGAGAGTGGCACAGAAAGTGTATCGAGCGCTGTCACGTGCTGACTGTTTCGTCATCGTCCCGGCTTGCGAAGAAGAGGGAGATCTACTACCCGGAAGCGCTCCCTCTGCTGACCGCCCTTCTGGACGACAGACCTGTTGAACGAGAGTTACAACCGAACCTGCAGAACAGCTGTGTTCGGTGACGAGCAGCCAGTGAACCCAGATGGGGTACACGGACGAGGCCACCGATGCCGAGTGAAGCCTCATGTGCAGCATCGTGGCGCATGTACTCCAAAGAGCCAAGGGTTGTAGCTGCCACAAGGACAAACTCTGCAAGGGAAGCCAGAAAGAGCCGTTTCAGTCGTAGCTTTCGATGTGATGTTGTGAGGGTATGCAGCGGTATGCATGTCTGGGAGTGAATGAATCCCCTTTGGTTCACGAGTCTCCGGGGCAGCAAGCTTTGCGTCTGGACTGAGAAGTTTCATCTGGAAGAGGTCCTGAGGCACAGCTTCGAGGCCCTTCCAAAGAGCGGCCGATGTCTCGTGTGAAAGTGTTCCGGTTTGCGCTTTTCATGCCACGGGTTCATGAGGTCGAGGCCGCGTGGGCGCTGCCGTGGCCAATCATGCGCTGCACAGGACAGGACGCATCTTTAGGAAGAGCGCCTTCCTTACCCGCTTCCGGCACTTCCGGCCTCGGCTCGCCGACTTCAGGCTGTTTCTGCAAGTTCACAGCTGGCAGATGAAGGTTCTGGCAACCTGTGAGTCTTTTTTCTGGCCTTGGGTCTCCTGAGCTCAGGACTTGCAGCCTGTGGCGGGTGCGTGGCACGAGCACAGCCCCACCATTGCACTCAAGCGTGCACCTGCAAAACTGAGCTGGGCCCAGCTTGGACAGCAAATCCGAAGGTTGCAGCAGCGCATGCGTACATGTTAACTCGCAAAGAGCTCCAAGGCACGATGCCTTTGATCAAAAACTTCAGCAGCATGGACTGAGCTTGAATGCCGCTCGCCGTGCATTCGGACGCATGCTTGTGTATCTGTTCGGTTAATCAGTGTCGCTTGCCCCAGTTTGTCTTCGAACAAGGGGCGAAAAGCATGGCGGCATGGCAGGGTCTTACTTTAGCATGTTAGTATTGTTGAACATGGCGTCCCCGTTATGATGAGATTGACAGGGAAGTGCAGTGGCAGGGCGGGATGGAGACTTAAGGCCAGGTTATGCACAACGTGTTCTTTCACCCTGGCTTCGAACAATGTTGAACAAACATGGCAGGGCCGATGCTGTCAACATAGCGTTCTGATGATATGCACAGCAAAAAATGCAAACACAAGACAAAAAACGATGTTTCTGCGTGGAAGCATTTGTTGATAAAGAGTTTGTGCTTTTATGGATTGCGACTGAAACGCTCGCTGCTGCAGCTTTTCTTCCAAGCTTCCAGGCGATGCACAAGGGAGAAGTCGTCCAGCTGCGAAAAAAGTGAGAGAGCCATCCATGGGCATGGATGCACGGGCCACTGGATGGCAGACCTGAGCGACAGAGAAAGCGGGGCAAACGAGGGTGATGGAAACTATCGTCGCCTTGGCAGAGACCTTGCGGTCCCAGGAGCTCTCCGTCCTCGCTGCGACGATTGAACAGCTGGTGCGGGATGAAGCGGATGTGCTGCTGAACGCCTCGGCTTGCACGCTTCACTCAGGCTCATGGCAGCGCTCTAACCGTTTTGTTGCGGTGGCAGGTGAGCTACCAGGCAGCCGGCTTCTACACGCGCCAGGGCCTGGAAGCGAGCGCCGCCCGGGAGGCCTGCCTGCCCGGCCTGCCCTGCCCCCTCCCTGCGCCAGCTCTTTGAGAAAATGTGCGTTTCTTTTGCTTCAAAGGTAATGGAGTACTACATGTCCAGCTCCTCGGCTACAGCACATCTCTGCCGCCTCCAGTCTAGTCTGGTGGCCGCAGATGTGGCCTGTGCGCAGGCTACATCCTGGGAACGGAGTCTTCGGCACTGGAGCTGACCGTACCCTGCCGGGAGCAAGGAGGAAGTTCAGTCCGCCAAATGCAGACTTCGCCAAGGCTTCGGATCTCCAAGCACTCCATCAGAACATCGGGACCCGTCATATGCGCAGAGTTCCAGAGCCACAGCTTTCAGAAGAAGCTACAAGTTTCAGGAGCTATCCGCGGTGGAAGGAGGTGCAGGAACTTCTGGAGGAGGCCACTGCCGAGGTCGCAGGGAAAGGCGCCGAACTCCTTCATTTTCAGACCATGCACCTCGGACTGTCAGCAGATGTCAAGAAAAAGTCTTGCGGCAACAAGTTCAGCGGTCACAAACAGCTTCTGGACACCAGCACGGATCCAGCTCCTTGTCTCTGCACGACATGAGGAACGCATCCCGCACGACAGTAAATTAGGGACACCTGCGATCTTCGTCGAATCTGGTCTCATCCGCTGCTGACGCGTGCATCGACGCGAAGATTCCAGGTCCTCCATCCTGCTGTTCACGTCTGACCGTTTCGCGCGATTGGAGGTGCTGTCTTCATTGACCCGCGCCCAAGCGCCGCCGCGCGGCCAAGCGCAGGAGAAGGAGTGCCAAGCCTTGAAGCGGCAGCTGGTGGCGATGGAGGAGAGCCGAAGTATGACATGTGCTGGACATGTTTATCTTGTATGGGCATTAGGGTTTTCCAGGTCGCTCCCGGCTGCCAGGAACGACCTGGTCGGGTTCTTCTGCGAGACTTCTACCGACCAGCCCTTGACCAGGCCTTCGCCGAGAGCGCTTCGCCATGCTTCGCCCTTTTTGGCGCATCTTGCGCAGAGCCCTGAGCGCCCGTCGTCGACCCGCTTTCTGCAGGGGACCTTGGAGTTCACTGAGAGTGCAGAGTTCTTGCGGCAACAAGGCGCAGGGGCGCGACTGGGAAATTCACCGCGTGCAGAGTGAGCTTGCTTGCTGACAGGGGCGCTCGACGAGTCGGACCAGGAGTTTGAGCCCCACCATCTCCGTGAAGCGATGCGAAGCGATGCGAAGCGATGCGAAGCGGATGAGCACTCGCTGTGGTGCGGTTCCGAGGGCTCGCGTCATCGTGCCCAATTACATGATGGCAGTGGCCTGAGCCGACAGCACATGATGTAGTTATGCAGTTTGGGTGTGGTATGTGTGGTCGCTTCGGGTTCCGTAAAGGCCGACTCCAACTGCTTGGCGTCCTCGGACTACTACTCGGTGTGTTGCTCGGATCCTTGCGAGGACGCGAGAAGCGCTTAAGAGAGGAAGCTCAAGTCGGAGACGGTCTCTGCCAAAAAAGACCAGGAGATTATGGATCAACTGGAGGCATCGTTGAGAGCTCCCAGTCGGGCCCTTGTGGAAAAGTGGTGAAACCGCTGCAGCCAACGGACTAGCTGAGTGTTGTTTCTTGCATGCAGGTGCCTCCCCGACTGCGCTGCTCAATGCGGCCGGGGCCCAAAGGGCAGATAAGGCCCATGGTGCCGTGCAAAACCTCGCGACGGGAGGTGCAGGTCCTCCGCAGTGGCGCAGGCTTTGGGCGCCAAAACCCTCCGATGACAGCGAGCGACAGCGACAGTGACCGAGGCGAGACCCAAGGCCTCTCCTTGGAAGGCGAACTCTCCGAGAGGCCCTCGTACTCGCTCTGAGCTTTTGTAGCCTTGACACACTTCGCGAGGCTGTGGGAGGTGGCAGCGCAACACAGCGGCGAGGCGCAAGACATGATGCGAGAGCTTTCAAGACAATGGCCCAGCGCGGCGCGGTGCAAGCACATTTGGAGGTCCCACTGCATGGCCGGCTCTTTGCGTGACTCGGATCTATGTTGAATCGAACCTATATTGCAGGCTTGCAGAGAGAGTTGCAGAGGCTTGCACCCTTCGTTGACTTCATTTCGCATCCCGACTGGCATCACGTGCTTCGCTTGCTCTAAGGCAATGGCTGCACCACGCCTTTCCTCGAGACTGCCCCTTTCCGCACGTTTCCGGCACTGTGCGACAGAGTCTTACACAGTTTCAGGAGGTGCCAGTCGGTGTGTTTTTGAGGAATGCGTGATGCAGTATACGTATCTCGTAGGAGCGACATGAGCGTGCAGCCTTCGCCGAGTACAATGAGATGCAAGAGATTGTCAACCTGCCTCTCGACGCCAAGTTGCCAAGTCCAAGCTCGCATTGGCACAATGTGATCGGAAGCCGTAACTGTAACTCCTGGAAGTCAATACATCACAGGACCAGTGGCATGCAATTCGCCAAACATTGCCGGAAAGCCTTGTGGGACGCGCTGTCTGCTCTTCCTTTCTTGCCACGGCAACACTAAAACCATGCTTGAGATCCGGGACGAGTTGAACGGTCGTTTCTTCTGGTGCTCACCACTCTAACCACAGCCCCTCCGACCCAAAGCTCGGCTGCCGCCCCGTAAAGCGCTGAGAGCGGGTAGCCGATTGTACTGTACAAGACGCTCAAACACTTGACAGAAAACGCTCGAACAACCTGAGCTGATTTGACTCGATGGTTCAAGTACACGGATGGTGAAAAAGACGACAGCTGTACTCGTGGTGAGCACCGTTTCAGACAGAGACGTTGAACATGTTAGACGTGACATGCGGATCAAAAGGTGTGGAATCCGTTCAGTCCAGGCCACTCGTGGTTCGTATTCCGCCCGACGCCTTCGAAGATTGCGGTGTTGTACTCATGCTGCGGTTGTATTCCTGAAGCTTTCGATTCACGAAAGAGCAGCCGAGGCGCTCAAACACGTCGACTCCTTCGGAGCGATCTCACATTTTGCAGAGACTTTCTGTTCTGCCACTCTTTGCCTCTCATGACTTTTGCTCACATCTTCGGTCTTTGGCCTTCACGCAGAGGACGCTTTCGGCATGTGGTTGGATGACGAGGAGTTGCTGGACAGCCGCAGCTTCGGTTCCCAGAGGACCCAAGCGAGCCAACGGGAAGTGGAAGCTATGGCTGTACACCGAAGCACCACCAGGACATGGCCATGGCCCGTTGCCATGATTGGATTGGTGGCTGTGGCAATGCTGAGGTTTCGTGATCGAGGCCCTGTGTCTGCTTCCCCACGCAGTGTGCTAACACTATGTATGGGGTCCTTGCGGTCAGAGCAAAGAGAATTGAATAGATCGCCGTGAACCTGCGCCGCACCTCGAAAAACAGCTCCCTGCGTTCTACTATTTACAGCAAACGCTGCCAACCGGGTTCCCGCGTCACATTATTACTCAGGAGCGTACGTCTCCCGGCTGCGGTGCGGTGCAGATTTTTCGCTGACGTCCTACCATTTGGGCTGCGTGTTGATTCTTATGCTCAAGGTTTTTTGTTTTATGCTGCATTTATGCTGCCCACCTCCAACCTCCATGCCTCCATACCGTCGCCGACACGTTTGTTTTCTTATTTTCATGAGTTCGCCTCTTATGCCCGAGGTTTCTCCATTTATGCTATCGGTCTGTTTTAATACTAGGCTTTTTTTTAGGCTGCTCCGTCTGCTGCTTATGCTCCATGAGCCAGGTGGGCCGGGCGGGGGGGCTGGATCAGTCCATTTAGCCAAGGCCTGATTTGTTGTTATGCTGGCCGGAGTGCCAGTCTGACTTAAGCTCCTGGCTCAAATTTGTGTTGCCTTGGGGTGTTGTCCTTTTGATCCACATGCAGACAAGCACACTCATGCTATCATGTGCCAGGAGTTGTTCTCATGTTCACATGAGTCGCTCTCCGATATACATTCCGTCGTCGGAGGTACATCTCGGTCAGTCTGGAAGTGGCAGTAGCAGTCGCACCAATGCCCCTGGACGGCATATTCGTTGCGCCGGATGCATCTCTGATCGAGGCTTACACAGAACTGCAGATGATTCACCTTCCATATTCTCAGTACAAGGTGGTCAGTGGGGCCAAGAATCCGATGCTACTGAGACTTGTTTTCGCCTGGCCGAGGCTTTGAACTCCTGGCAGGAGGCTCTGCTGCGAGCGGGGCGTTGTGTGGAGGGGGACGGGGTGGCGTGGTGGCTGCGAGCAGTGTCCGGCGGAGGTGGATGGCACCGTGGTGGATTCATCTTCCTGTTGCTGATGGTTGGGGGGAGTGGGGGGAGGGGACTGTGAGAAGGTTCCGCTGTTGGAAGTCGTTGGTGGTTGGGGGTTGAACGGTTTTGTGGGGTGCCGCTTGATGCGAAGCTCTGGTGCTTTAGCCAACAAAGAAAACGGTGGCATGATCTGAACGGCTTTGTCCCTTAAGGGGGCTGATAATGGCTTCTAGCGGTGGGGACTAGACAAGGAGCCCGTACCTTGACCAGGGGTTGGAGAGGTGGTGAGTGCATGCCGCCATGCTCTGCAGTCCGGCCTGCTGCGGGCCTGGACTGTGATAGAGCGGTGGGCTCTTCGTTGGCGTGCTTGGTGTGACCTGCAGTGTCTGTGGTACTGCGTGTCTGTGAGGGTGGTGACTGTGTGGGCAACCTGGAAAAATGGAACTGTGAGGTAAAGCTGTCCTAAAGTTATGAAAGTAGATCAGCGCACCCAGCTCGCCATGAGGTGGCGTGTCAAAACGGCTGAAATCTTTTCCGGTCTGCTGCGCGGGCGAGTCGGAACTGTTTATGTTACACAAGGCAGCCCGTGAGAACGCCTGTGAAGAGACAGGGCGCGCACAGTTACTGCGGAAGAAGCTTTAAAAGAGCTGGAAGCATCACAGGGATCCGGCCATCGCCGCTTCTTGCGCGTCTGTGGACAACTCTCCATCAGCTCCTCCGTCGACAAGAAGCCTGTGAAGTGGGTGCGCTCTTTGTCCTCTGGCTGAACGAACTTATCCTTCCCGGGGAACTCGTGGCGGAAACCGGGCCAGCCAATGGTCCAGTCCTGTTTCCTCGCTGTGCTCCGGAATGGCCTTGGTCAAGAATCTGCTCAAACGTTTCACCTCGGCGTAGTTGTGGGCTGTGAGCTCAGCCGCCTTGGAGAATGTTTTTTGCTCCACGGTCCACGGTGGTCTGGTTGACGTGCTGCCTCAACTGGCCATACCAAGTCTTGCGCCATGACTCCAGAAGCTTCGGGGCATGCTCCGACAGGATGTGGGTCTGACAACCCGGTCTGTGAGGGTTCCAGTCGTGGGTGTTCTGTGAGAAGGCGGCCCACTTGTACACAATCCTGCCGGGCCATGCTTCCTTGCTGTCAACGAGGGCCAGCGTTTTCCAGCGAGGGATCAGGGCCTCCTTGCTGTACTTCGGGAAGGCGCCCCGGTAAGCATTCATAAGGCCCGGGAGCGGCGAGGCTCTTTCAAATTGGGTCACCCCGACAAGAGCTTAACGGCGCCGGACCTTTTCCAGGAGTGGGTCCTTCTCGTCCTTGGCCTTCTCCTCCTTGGCGTCATCATCGCCTGCTTCCTTGGCTGCGTCTTGCTTCTCCTTGGTTCCTGTGTGGTTGTACCAAGAAAGACACAATCAGCGAGTCAGCGAGATCCAAAATCCGCTTCCTCGCTGTGCGGGAGGGGACTGTGAGGATGGAGGTGGCCGCTAGTTCCTGCCTCGGATCAACGTACGCCCAACGAAGTGAAAATTCATCGGTGACAGGCAGTGAATGTGCAAGGATGCTGAGCGGATCTGGCTCTTTACTAAATCAGTGCAAGTTACGAATGAAGCAAGGCTTGGGGCACCTGTGTCGCAATTTCAAGCACAACCTCAAGGCAGCCGTGTCCAGGCGCGAGGTGGCCAAATTCCACATGCCCTCGATGTTCCAATGGCTGGCCTTGGCCAGGGCCTTCTCCACTGTGAGGCGGCTGTCCTGCTCTGTGAGCCAAGACGGCCGGTTCCTGCAGACGATTGTCCGTGTCCTTTTCAGCCCAAGCAGTTCGGATGCGAAGGGACACTCGATCGTTCCTGGCTGATTGTGAGGTGGCCAAGGATGAGTAGGTGCAACCTTCTGCTGCATAGCCATCTGGATCATCTCCGTACACTGACCAATCATCGTGGCCGGTGAGTTGAGATCTATTTCCTGTGCTACTGGCACTGTGAAGGCCGATGGCCGCAGGGCTGTGGAGTTTGACAGTAAAGAAAAGGAAGCCGTGTAGGGAGAGTTTAGTTTTTCCTCCATCAAACCCACTTTCGCTGTGAGCTCTTGCTGCTGCTCTTCCTGCGTGCAAGCTGGCTAGCCACCTTTTGAAAGGAGCTCAGACATCTTATCGAGTTGTTCCTTTTGTGAGGACATGGCTTCAGGAACCTGCTAAAAGGGAACTGTGCGGGTCGACCTGTGCGGAAACAGCTAAGCTTGAACCGCTCGTGAGCTGGCGCGATCCATGTAGACTCAATGTAGACCATGCTAGACCTACCCCCGGCTATGAGGCCAATAGAACTAGTTACACAAACACTCTGCCAAATGCACGTGCCGTGCAAACATTGCTCTGCTTGCTTTCGGGATAATCGGTGTTTAGTTACTTTGGAAGCACTCAAATTGTTGCTGGCTCTGATGGTTACTTGAAAACTTCGCGCCACAACAGTATCGCGACGGATCGCGCCTGAGCGGTTGGCATGGCGGCATCCACTGAAGCACCCCGCGGTTGGAGGGGGATTCGAAGAAAAGATCCGTTTCCTGAACCAACATCTTCAAGGCTCGAGTCAAGGCTAATTTGTATAGTATAGTCGAACCACCGTGTTTGAAAAAAGGAGCGCCTCAGCTTGACTCCACTGGGTGCGTTTAACTTCGCAATTTTGAAAATAGGTTGATGTTGCCGATGACCCATAAGCAACTTAGGCCCAAGATCATTAAGCACGCTGTGTTGAGACCTCTGATGAAAGGCCCAGTTGCCTAGCCCTAGCCATCATCGTCATCTTATTTCAACATAGGTCCTTTCGAGATCGTGTCGGCAGGCTGTTACCATGCCAAGACGGTCTGACGGCAGCTGAGCGAGATTGCCAAGGGATGCGCAGCACTCGTCTCGAAAATGCTGCGATCGTGGATGGAATGCCAGGGTAAGATGTGACAAAGGCCAGCAATCTCAGAGCTGACAAGAACGGTGCGGAAGATCAGGGAGCATACTAAGTATTGTTGTGGGTGAAGCATTTGGCCTGCCAAATGGGTTTCGAGGATCGTCCCTCACACGGATCTAGGCCGGAGGCGGCAGTGCATGGGGTTTCCATTTGCGAAGGAACCAGTGAGTCCTGCTTAGTGCAAGAGCCAACTCTGGTCACTTGCGTGTTTCATGTAAATTTACGTCGTTCGCATAAGCTACTTTTTACGGCTTGGTTGGATCATACAAATCCGAAAAAGTCAGACGTGTTCAGAAGGGGTGCGGGCCAGAAATAGAAAAAAACAGTCAGGCAAAGTCAACCAACAATTCACAAAGTCTGCCCCGCCGCCTTGGGCTTGTCCAAGCCGTCAGGCTCCCCACGGGCCCTTCCCCGTGTCCTCTAATTTTTTGTGTTTTAGTTTGCAACATTTCCTGAGTGGTGAATTCAAAATTCCAATCCTGGTGCGTGTGGTCAGATTTAAATATAAACCAGGTAGTAGGGCAGTCCTTGAACTGGAACGAAAGCAAAGACCCAAATCTCCGAGGCTTCTGGTTCAAGGCCGGGGCTTCAGAGTGTTTTTTTTGGGCGTGGACCGATGGCAGTGTGCCAGGGCCTCAGGTCAGGCCGCCGTCAGCGTAGCCTTTGGAGTTTGTTTTCTTTTCGCTGCGTTTTGTGTTTGCTCTTTGCGCCGAGGCTTCGTGCCGCCTATGGGCTTCCGGGTGATGCCCCGCACCTCGCCCTATGCGTCGCTGCTGCCCATGGTGCCCACCTGGCTGCCCGTGGTGGCGGGCGTGGTTTGGTCCAGGAGCGGAGTGGATTCCATTTCATTAGTTCCGCTAGTGTCTGGCTGCATGGAGAACTGTATGGGAAGAAGTCCGCACCACCACCATTGCTTTGGGCGTTCTTTCACAGGTGCCGGCTTTCGCAATCGACGTACCTCCTGAGCGACGGAGCTGTGCGGCTGGAGGCTGATGCGGCTCGGCTCGTAGGTTGTTGGGAAGCAACTCCGCTTTTCATTTCGGGTCTGGTTCTTCTGGTTACCGTCCGTCATGAATTTCCGGAAGTTGCCAGGAGGGAAGGACTCGAAGAAACAGAGAAGAACTGGCTGGAAGAAGACAGCCAGTTAAGGAACGTTGAAAAACGTGACACAGTGGCAGCTTCTGAAGTATGAAATCCCCTGCAGGGCCAAGCATTGCTGGTCATTCGGTCCCTTTTGCGTTGGGTGCCATTACTCTATCATAAGAAGGGGATCAAGACCAAGAGGGGCCGAGGCGAATTAGGTCCGAGATTGATTCCGAATTGGAGTTCTTCCTGCCTTTGTGATATACATTGGGCCACTGAGGCCATGCCAGATGACCTCCACCTCGCTATGTCAAACTGACCGTAGATGTTTGGATTCGATACGGTGCGGACCTCACGCGCCCAGACAGTCTGTGAGTGTACGATTGCCTGACCGTAGCTTGGAAAGCATTCGAGAGACGCACGAGAGATTGCGCAATGACGTCGAAGCTGTGTTCGGCTCTTTTCCTTGGCCAGCTAAGGACAAATAGTTTGTGGGAAGCCAGCAGATATGTGGAAATTCGAGGTTTATGCATGGAAAGACCAACAGAGCTGCTACTCGAAAACCTGTCGGTGACTGACCAAATGTGCCGTGGTGTAGTTGCAAAAAGATCACAGGTTCGTGTAGCAAAATCGCCAGGGACATCCCGGCGTCCCTTGTGCTTTCTGTTTCGACGCCCATGCCCACGATGCCACTTGAACTGAGTGCTGCTCGCAAGAAGCTACAGGCTGTGTTTGGACGGAAAGTGGTCATTCGCTCTCTTCTCCTACAGCCGCCAAATTCTCGCGGGCGGCCAGAATCACGGACACATGCACGGGCAACCTGCCATTTGCCATCCACAGGCCTTCAACTGCAAACGCGACCTCTCCTTACACACGCGAATCCGTTCTAGCAGGCAAGAGTTGGCAGTGTGATAGTTCCTGATGTCGATACAGGTGGCACAGGCATTTTTCGCTAGGCTTACCAAGCCTGAAGTCGGGATTTCCATAGAACGGGACACGGTGTCCTGAAGAGAGCAAATCAGAGGACGTGGCGGCTGCGGGTGTCACCCTGTGCCCGTTTGGCCCTTCATGTCTGTCTGTGAAGGCTGGCATACCGTCGCGATGCCCTGCAAGCTCTGCTAGCATCACTGCCACTGCTCGCAGTGCCTGCTCCGTGTTGGCCTGTCGTGCCTGTTTGGGGAAGCATCTGAGAATCCACCGCCGCCAATCCGGCCTGTCATTGCATTCCAGCTCCCGTCCATCCAGGCAGCCTCGCAACAACACCACATGCTTCATACTTGGTTGTAAATGTCGATATTTTTATAGATGATAGCTCCTGATGAAATTGCTGGCTTCCTGCCTGCGAAAGGTGCCACGCACTGCGGTGGCTCCGCACACTTGCGCGATTTTGCACGAATTGCCGCTACCCCAACAAGGAGCAACTTGATGTGCCATGGATCCTAACGAGGGAGATTCTGCCGGTCTTCCCACCTAGTGGCGGCACAGCACCTCGCATGTCCCTTGCAACGCCGGCCAGCGAGCGTGAGTCCTACAACTTGGCACGTCGTACACTCTTGATCCCACTCACGGAGCTTCTAGGAGCTCCCAGCTTCAAGTTCAAGTTGCCTGCAGAGGACGAACGGATCGTCGCATCGCAGCCAGCTGCCAGCCGCATGCGCGGTTTCGTTCCCCAGTCCCAGTTCCTTGCCACGCAACCTCTGCAAAGCAAGCTGCGACTTAGGTGCCCAAGTCAAGCTGCCACCCTTCCATGCAGTCTGCATCCGCTCAGGGTTTGCATGGTCATTGGCTCCGAGGTGTTGTCTTTGGCTGCCGTCCGTGCCGCAGAGCCACTGAAGCTCTTCAGGGGCTGCTCGCTTTCCTGTGCCGTGCGCATTCTCCGCAGATGCAATCCACCGCCTCGAGAGGTGCCGCACTCCTAGACCATTGGCATGAACGGCTTGCGAGCAGGCACTCGATCCAAGGTTGGAAACTGTCATGTTTGCCTGGCCTGAATGGCCTGAAGCCCGAGATCGTGCACATGCAGAGGCCCAGACAGCACGAAGGCAAAGAGGCGAGCGAGTCGGCCATGTGAAGGGAGGATTGAAGGCTTTGAGGGTGCAGGCTGATTGAGCCTCGTGATTTCAAGTAGAGCCTCCTTTCCACCTACGTTCCCAGCAGTGGGCTACGGCCGGGGCCGCTAGCGCCGAGAGCAGTGCCGCGGAGGCAGAGGCCGCTGGCGGCGCCTGCTCCACGCGGCCAGCGCAGCGAGGAGAGCAATCCACCGAAGAATTGAAGCTTTGCCAGGATGGGCCTTGAGGGCCTGGAGCACTAGGACCTCTTGCACAGTTGCCCAGAGTGAGGCACGGCAAGCACAGCAAGGTCCGCTTGTGAAATCAACTCTCTGCCATCGAGAAATGCATCTCGCGTGCCCTCTGACTGGAGATCACTTGTTCGGTGCATTTCCAACATGTCACGCCGACCCTCTCCTAGGCGGTGCGAGCACTTTTTCAGCTTCGGACAGCATGGTCATCTAAGACTATTAGTGACTTAGTGCCTGTGCTTTGAAGCTGCCCATTTTGCCAGGGCCTGTTCCTGTGAATAAACCAATCAAGTGCAGCATCTGTCCGCGGCGAGACCTCGATGGTCGCTGGAGACGACATGTCCGCTTGTGAAATCAACTCTCTGCCATCGAGAAATGCATCTCGCGTGCCCTCTGACTGGAGATCACTTTTTCGGTGCATTTCCAACATGTCACGCCGACCCTCTCCTAGGCGGTGACCTCCATGAATACTGCGGAGCTGTTTGGTCAAGGGTTCTCACTGTCCCTGATCAACTACACTGTGCGTTTTTTGCTTCAAAAGCAGTGAGAATGGTCTCTCCGCTTTGCAGCTTCCCCTCTTGATGCTCTTGCTGGCCGGTGTCAGCGGTGCCGTCGGTGCAATTTCCTCGGTCAGAATCTCCTTGAGTTCCTCGATGAGTTGCAGTGCACAGGACGCTGGAAAGCTTGCGAGCGAGCACTTTTCAGCTTCGAGAACGCCACAGCCA